AGTGTCTGTTCAGGTCCTTGGCCCATTTGTTGATTGGGTTATTTGTTATCTTATTGTTTAATTTTTTGAGTTCYTTGTATATTCTGGATATTAGGGCTCTATCTGAAGTGTGAGGGGTAAAAATTTGTTCCCAGGATGTAGGCTCYCTATTTACCTCTCTTATTGTTTCTCTTGCTGAGAAAAAAACTTCAGAGTTTCTTGACTTTCACACACATCTTTTTATTTTCTCCAAACCTGTTTCCAGTTTCACCAGTGAAGGAAATCTACTGGGCTCAGTAACATGTATGTAAGATTAATATTACATTACTAGTTTAAAGTACATCTCTTGAACTTGGAAACTCCCACATAATAATGTACATAGTTGATAAATATCTATTGAACATCTATGATGTGCCAAGTGCTGCTGTGAGTATTAGAGAAAATGAAGTAGAAAAGGTGTTTTTGTCCTTGTGGTACTTACAYTTGAGTATCATGAGTTTGTATACCCTCTCTTCCTACTAGGAGAAAACTTATTATTTTTAATCTTTTCTTTGCAGTAAGTTTCTTAAACCTACTTGTCCCTCGAAGATTGTTGATTAAAAAAAAAAAAAGAAAGAAAAAAACCTCTTTTATTTTCCTTAATCAGAATCTTAGGGAACAGATTGGGAAATCTGTTTCAACAAGCTCTCCGGGTGCATTAGATGCATTTGAGACTACTGCCCTATTAATAGCGTACTACCTGAGGAATTGCAGTTTTCACTTGTCTACATCTATARCTCCCCTTTTGGTTATCATGACTACCCTTTATCAAACTTCTCACCTTTGGAGAAAATGAAAGCTCCCCTAATTGGCTTCCAGCCAATTCACCTAAAATAGCCTACAAAGCAACCTTTTTATAAAATACCATTTATTTTTAACTAAAATTGTTATCAGTATGGAACAGATGTTAACCATGTCCTGCTTTGGAATAGAAAAGGTTCAAACATTAATTATTACTTATGATCCATAGACCCAAAAGATTCATTTTAACATTAGAGTTGAGATGTCAGAGACATGGGAATTTTTCTCATCAAAAGCAAGACACTGATTCTTGGAAATCTATTGTATACAATATAAACAATATTTGCTAAAGTAGTTCTTTGTGAGTTGATGATTGTCAGAATAGTGGATATTTAATACTAAACAATATGCAATGCCAAAAACTACAATAAGGTTATTATTTGTGAAATAGTTATCACAGGATTTTTATGTGCTTAAACTCTGTTCTAAGTATTATACACATATTTAGGTGACTTGATCTTCAAAACTTGTCTATGAATTGTGATTTGGTTACCATGCCCATTTTACAGATGAAAAACTGAGACATTGAGAATATAAATAGTCTGTTTAGATTTATATGGCTGATAAACTGTAATCAGGATTAGAATCTTAGTGCCAAAATCTGTACTCTAATTAATCAATAGACTAACCTGTTCCTCCTTAGTTTTTATAATATGTTTTTAGGAACTTCAGACCAAAGAAGTTTACATAGTCCTTTCTAGGAAACAAGAATGTTGATTACAACTTCCTTGTCCCCACTATTCTGTCTTATTTTCACTTGATTCATGTTCTAAAATGACCATAACAATGTTGATGAACAGGATCATCTGGTGGCTAGTGAATCAAGCATAAGACTAACTTGATTCTGAATTTCAGCTGTACCATTTGCTTGCTGTAAGGCCTTGAGCAAGTGACCTCTTCAAGTCCTTGTTTCTTCACCTTCCAAATGAAAGTTATAAGGGGACCTACATCATACAATGTTGAAAGAACAAGTAAGATGGCCCATTTAAGATACTTAGAATGTATTCAATAAATATTATAAGTGTAATAAATAGCAGCATCACTAAACTATGAGCCAAATGAAGTCTTGATTCTTATATTAGCAATAAACATGGTTCATTTTTCTTTTAATTAAAAATATCACAGCAACAAAAACAACAAACAAAACTATAAGCCATTAAACCAGTCTTTTGTAGGGAAAACCAGAAAGGCCATTTGATTCATTAATTCATATGTCACTAGTCATCTCCTCTGTTTCAAAATGCATGTGTTTTAGCATCCTGAGACACCTTGCATAACATAATCACTGTGACTCCAAGAGGTCAAGTGGGCATGCAGTTAATGTTGCTCTGTGAAAAGCTCAATAATTCATTTTATAAATTTCAGTTCAAAGCCTATGTTGAGGTTAAGAAAAATTGACATTCGGTCTGTGAACTTAATGTCAAGCTCAGAAAAACTCTGGGCTGCACATGTTTAGTGATTAAGCAGACGCAGATAATAAAGATGTTGCCAAAYTGTAAAACAAGACTTGGAAATCACAGAAAATGTTGCTAGTTATTGATTATGGTGACCATTCAGTTCTTATTGAGCCACCCAAAAGAATCATTCATTTTCCAGCAGAGAGCCTGCTCATTTGCAAGATAAAAGAGAGACATTTCTGCACATGCCCATAATGTTCTTCACCACTGGGGGCAGCTTTACATAAGACTGCATTCACTGAAACCAAAGCAACAGTCCGAGCAGCTTTCAGAATGACAGTCTGCAGAAGTGAGCTGAGCGTGTGCGCTGTACGGGGCTCTCCTGCCTTGTGGGCTCCTTCGTAGCTCTGTGGCTGAACTGGGTGCTCACCACGGGAACTGCTGGGCTATGGAATACAGATGTGGCAGCTCAGGTAGCCCCACGTTGCCTGGAGGAATACATCAAGCTTTCTGATAAGAAGAAATTGTMGAAGCCAGTTCTGTAACCGCCCCCCCCCAAGAGAAAAAAAAAACTGTAAAGATGCAAAAACGTAATATCCATGAAGATCCTATTACCTAGGAAGATTTTGATGTTTTGCTGCGAATGYGGTGTTGGGATTTATTTGTTCTTGGAGTGTTCTGCGTGGCTGGCAAAGAATTATGTTCCAAAATCGGTCCATCTCCCAAGGGGTCCAATTTTTCTTCCTGGGTGTCAGCGAGCCCTGACTCACTACAGTGCAGCTGACAGGGGCTGTCATGCAAGTGGCCCCCTAAGCCAAAGCAAAGGACCTAAGGACGACCTTTGAACAATACAAAGGATGGGTATGTTTTGTCATTTTTCTTCTTTCCTTCTTTTAAAAAAAATCCTCTAGTATATGTAATAATTCTGTCTTAATTATGTTAGAGATTACCTTGTTCTGCTCTAAGACTAAAGATTCAATTGCTTAGTGGACACATTTCTTGCTTAACTATTTAAAACAAAAAACACAATCTCTTTCAATTGCAAAGAGATGATATTTAATGTTAAATGTTGTTATCTAGATTTGAATTTCTGAAAATGAAAATATATGCCTATTTTTGCTTGATTAAAAAAAATGCATTCTTTTTTGGGGGGATAACTTTTCTAAGTTGTTTTTATTTCCAGGTTTCAATGTAATTAGGCTACTGAGCGGATCAGCTGTAGCACTGGTTATAGCCCCCACTGTCTTACTGACAATGCTTTCTTCTGCTGAACGAGGATGCCCTAAGGGCTGTAGGTGTGAAGGCAAAATGGTATATTGTGAATCTCAGAAATTACAGGAGATACCCTCAAGTATATCTGCTGGTTGCTTAGGTTTGTCCCTTCGCTATAACAGCCTTCAAAAACTTAAATATAATCAATTTAAAGGGCTTAACCAGCTCACCTGGCTATACCTTGACCATAACCATATCAGCAATATTGACGAGAATGCTTTTAATGGAATACGCAGACTCAAAGAGTTGATTCTGAGTTCCAACAGAATCTCCTATTTTCTTAACAATACCTTCAGACCTGTGACCAATTTACGGAACTTGGATCTGTCCTATAATCAGCTGCATTCTCTGGGATCTGAACAGTTTCGAGGCTTGCGGAAGCTGCTCAGTTTACACTTACGGTCTAACTCCCTGAGAACCATCCCTGTGCGAATATTCCAAGACTGCCGCAACCTGGAACTTTTGGACCTGGGATATAACAGGATCCGAAGTTTAGCCAGAAATGTCTTTGCTGGCATGATCAGACTCAAAGAACTTCACCTGGAGCACAATCAATTTTCCAAGCTCAACCTGGCCCTTTTCCCAAGGTTGGTGAGCCTTCAGAACCTTTATTTGCAGTGGAATAAAATCAGTGTCATAGGACAGACCATGTCCTGGACCTGGAGCTCATTACAAAGGCTTGATCTGTCAGGCAATGAGATCGAAGCTTTCAGTGGACCTAGTGTTTTCCAGTGTGTCCCAAATCTGCAGCGCCTCAACCTGGATTCCAACAAGCTCACATTTATTGGTCAAGAGATTTTGGATTCTTGGATATCACTCAATGACATCAGTCTTGCCGGGAATATATGGGAATGCAGCAGAAATATTTGTTCCCTGGTAAACTGGCTGAAAAGTTTTAAAGGTCTGAGGGAGAATACAATAATCTGTGCCAGTCCCAAAGAGCTGCAAGGAGTAAACGTGATCGATGCAGTGAAGAACTACAGCATCTGTGGCAAAAGCACCACGGAGAGGTTTGATCTGGCCAGGGCTCTCCCCAAACCAACGTTTAAGCCCAAGCTCCCCAGACCGAAGCATGAGAGCAAGCCCCCTCTGCCCCCCACGGTGGGAGCGACAGAGCCTGGCCCAGAGACCGATGCTGACACGGAGCACATCTCTTTCCATAAAATCATCGCAGGGAGCGTGGCCCTTTTCCTGTCCGTGCTCGTCATCCTGCTCGTTATCTACGTGTCATGGAAGCGGTACCCTGCAAGCATGAAACAGCTGCAGCAGCGCTCCCTCATGCGAAGGCACAGGAAAAAGAAAAGGCAGTCACTAAAGCAAATGACTCCCAGCACCCAGGAATTTTATGTAGATTATAAACCCACCAACACGGAAACCAGCGAGATGCTGCTGAACGGGACAGGACCCTGCACCTATAACAAATCAGGCTCCAGGGAGTGTGAGGTATGAACCATTGTGATTAAAAAAAAAAAAAAAAAACCACAAAAACGCTCTTAAAAGCTGGGAAATAAGTGGTGCTTTATTGAACTCTGCTGACTATAAAGGCAACACGGTACCCCCCCTCCCCTCCCCTCTCCCTCTCACTGTGCTGGCAAGGTCCTTCCCTGTCCTGAGTGCATTCATAATACTGGTCATTTTCCTCTCATACATAATCAACCCATTGAAATTTAAATACCACAATCAATGTGAAGCTTGAACTCTGGTTTAATATAATGCCTATTGTATAAGACCCTTTATTGATTCCATTAACGTTGCATTTGTTTTCAGGAAGAAAAAAAAAACTTCTTTCATAAGTAATCTCCCACATCTGATGTATTCTCCTTCTGGGAGGATCAAATCTGTAGCTCTAGAAGGTTTGCAGTTTGTTGGCAAATCAAAGAAAATGATGAATAATCTCAGGTACTCAGAGCCTGAACCGATCCTAGGAGATGACTTGATTATAGAAACATTTTAGAGACAGACAGAGCCATTAAAATAATGCCTGCCTTAAAAAGAAAATTGCAGGAAACTATCAAAAGATGGTGCTGGGTTAAAGCAGCACCATGAACAGTTTCCAGAGATATCTAAGTTACAATAAGGCAAGCACAAGGGAGAAGTGTTGAAGGGTTAAAATACTGCAAGTAGTCACTGCAAAATGTGAGAAGATGATTAAAACACAAAGTTTTAGACTTTAGGGCTTATCTCTGAAACCCATCCCTGTAAAAGCAGACAAGAGGTTTCACTGTAAGTTTCTTCTACAGACATGTGTATTTCCTAAATAAGTTGATTAAATAGCCAAAAAATTAAATAGGCATATTTGAGGATATTGATTTCTTCRTGGCTTCTCACATGAGGGAGTTTTCAGAGATAAGATTTGCAAATGGGAAGCAATCTTGCTATGTGCTTGTGGCTGGGACCTCACCAGAATTTCTCTCCAGCTTTTTCAAAGACCCCAATGTAGTTAATGGAATCATTAGTTCCTTGCTGTTCTTCTGTTCAGGATTTGTCAGAGTGTCCTGTAGTGTTTCATGATGTGTCCTGCACACACCAGTCYTCCCAAATGACTGACACTTCATTCAGATGTGTAAAAGAAAACATATTCCAAAAGACATGCATTCTACCAACAGCCTCATTAAAAATGAGGACTATGATAACACCTTAATAAATGTATAAAATAAATTTTCAGGGGGAAAAGACCAACACTACAATATTTCTCTTTTGCTTTGCTGTTGTTGACATTATTGTGTCCCTGTGTTCATCTGTATTGTAAACTCATCCATCARTACAATTCTGTACAGACCCTGTTGGCAATCTGCAAGCTACATGCATGTTTTTATGTCGTTGGTGAAAGTTTATTGACTGCAGCACAAATATCATAGCCTCTGTATTTAAGTAACATGAACTACAGTCCATTGAGATTTTAGAAAAAAAATATCTTTAGCCTATATTCTCTTTTGTCTTCCAAAATGAACAGGTTTATTATAGGAGCAAAAATTAGGAATTACTACACTGAGGCTGTTTCATTTAATTTGACTCGCCAAGCCTTACATATTTAACCATGTCTCTGTTCTTTCAAAACAGAATTGCTGCATCAAAAAAGAAAAAAGTGAATGGCTATTTTTACCAACATTTTTATATAGTTTGGTGGTTTTTTCATAGGATGAGAGGAAAGATCTGGGCAAATCACCATGAAATATAATTGCAAGGAAGAAAAATTATTAAAATCATGCTTTTATAAGCAATAAAGAAAAAAAATGCCAAAATAGATTTCTCTAGGTTCTTTGAGTTTGGCTAAACCTTAAAATAAATACCAGTTCAGAAAAGTATCTTAGTCACAATGTTTACCCATAAATAATTGTTGAATATATAATAATGACAAATAGTCATATATTCCCAATTGATTAATAATGCAGATACTTCCTTACAGTAATATGAACTGGATGACTGATCTTACTGTGATGTTTTTCACTAAAGTTGTAATTTTACATCTTTTATGAAGTGTCAGTAAATACATATTCCATCTGAAAAAGAAATTTTCTTTGGTCAGCCTCATTTTTATCTGTACTAAAGATGATTGTATTAATTAAATGCAGTGTTAAAGTGGAAAAAAAGCCCATTTTTATTCTTTGACTTGAACTTTTCCTCATTTGTGATGGATACCAAATATGTTTAGGCAAGGTATAGTTATATTTTTTTAATTCTTTCAAATTATTGATTCTGTGGTGCTACTAGTATATACAAAATGTTTGCTGTATTGAAAAGTATTTCTAAATTTTAAAACCACTTGGTATGTAAATTGTGATTTAACATTAAATGAATGACCAACATTTTGAAGGCTGGTCATTTTTTAATGCCTAACTTTACTTATAAATATACTAGATAAGAAAACAGAATTTCTTTGAAGGTAAACATGGTTTTATTTGGAACATGAAATTACAAGAAAAAGTTCTTTCTCACCCCCTGCCCCAACTCAGAAATGAAGCTTCTCTAATTCTCAGTATCTGCCAAGAACAAATATAAAAATCCAGTAGGTTAGACAATTATTACTTTACTATTGTCAAATTTAACAAAATTGGATGGCAAATATTATCCTGATCAGAAGTTGTTGCCCTCACCTGTACTCCATGGCACTTTCTGTACTACATGCCATAAATCTATTTTCATAACTATTTGAAACTCCCTGCCTGTTAGAGAAATATAATTGATATTCATTTTTTCTAGTGCAAATTTACATGAAATACCTGATCTCAGGTGACAACAGTGAAACAACCTAACCTGTTGAACTCTGTAACAGAGATGGATCAATGCAGAGTGGATTCAAAACAGAAAGAAAATGGAGTTTAGTGTCTCTGAACAGCATGTGGGTTTTTTCCATTTTTATTAGCCTCAGTATGCACAGTGGTACTGCAGCGTGGAGGAAATAGTCCCAGTGCAACCGTATTCTAAGCAATACCAATGCAAGATATATTCATTTTCAATGAGTTTGTATTTTCCAAGGATGTTAATATTACATCTTTTCAAAGAATTTAAACTATTTTTTACTTGATTTGGTGAGTCAACTACCTAAGTAGACACAGGCAATAAACCGTATTTCTGTGGAGTAGCAATGACCTCTAGTGGCTGATTAGAATAACCACAGCCATTCAAACACATTTTAGCTTTTAATTCTGAATCTCTTTGTAAACGTTGTTTACAACGTGTACTTTTGATCTGTTCATCAGATTTGAATTTCACTTAGTTCATTCTCCTGGGAAATACAGCTATTGTGTAATTTTTTTATATATTACTTAGTGACATTTTTAGTAATGCTAGGAAGTAGGCCATAAAACAGGTTCTGAGGGACTAGAAGTAGGTGCCAAAGATGTAAAGCAAATAGTTATACAATAAAAATCGATAAGAAATATTCTAAAGTGTTTATATGCATCGAAATTGGTCAAATAGTCTGATATTTTAATTCAGTGTGTTAATCCATTGGCAGGACATTGAAACACATATTGTAATTAAGGTTGGAGAAAATAAATTTCAGTATTTAATATTAAAAGAATCAGCATCAGTTACTTACTGGTCAGAAGATATAAGAGCTATCAAGGGAGAGGGGCCTCCCCTTTTTTTTTGCTTTAGAACTCTCCAGTTTGCTGACCGTGCCAGTGACCCGTGCTTTGCCCCGTGCTTTCTTCCTCCCTCCCCCTTTGCAGCCAGCTGAACACTGGTTCTATTAGGCTCTTTGACAATGATGTTACAGTCTAAGAGGTGATGATTCATGGATAATGAAATTATGCTCTCCTTCTGGGGAAGGATAATGCAGAGTCAGATTCATGAATTTGGCAAGGGTTTTTAGGATGCTGTAGGTGCAYGGAATATCTTCCCTTCCTTTGACATTTACCAAGATGAGAACTCAAATAGTTTATTCAAAGTGAGGATTAGACTGGCATCAGAAACAAGCATCAGGCCATGAAGCTTAAGACAAAATAAGTTCCAGATGTGACAAGTGAAAATTGAGCCATGAGAAATGAAACTGTGTGGGTTCTTTTATCCTCTTTCTCCCTGGGTTCTCATTAGAAACTAGATCTGAAGCAAAACCATGGAGCTTCCTATTCTTGTGATCTCTTTGCTACCTACATTAAAAATCAGAGGCAGATGGGACAGACTATGAGAATGAAAAATAATATCAGTAAATGTGAATGACAACGTTACAAGAGCAATGGAATGGATGGACCTTAAATAGTGCTTATTAAATAACTGTTGAAAATTAACTCTAAAAATACACAGGTGAAAGTGTTTTCCCAATCATAAGAGTCCATGTAATTTTTCCAGCTGCCAAAACCATTGGTAATTTTGGATAGTTGGTAAAATACAATACAGATATTGCACAAAAATATAAATAAAAAGTAATTCTATTTCATTAAGGAAAATAATCATGGTCATGTCTTGTAGAAGAATATGGACCTCAGAAATTAAGAGCTAAATTCAAACTTCTCAGACACTTGTTAAATATCTTTTTGACAATGAGTCAAAAAGAAATCAATAACTCTATGTTACAGAAGCCTATATCWATGAATCTAGAACTTGTCTTTTATCTTTGGTTTCCATATGGACACAGATTCTTCCATCTTATGTTATCTGAGTGTTGCATTTTATCAATAGTGATCCCAGTGAATGGTAGATATTAGGACATAAACCAGAGAACAAAGAAAAAAACTTCTCAAACTAAATCCATATGCCAGTGGTGTCCCCAAATCTGGTCAGTATAGCCAGGGCTTTCCATCAAGCAGAAGTTTGTCTGTCCCCTCTCTAGTATCACTGTTTTCAGTTCTTGTTGACATTTACTATATAATTGTTTACATGATAATATGACATCACTATTGAACAGAAAGGTAATTGCTCCCATACATGTTGTATGGGATTAGCACACATTTCAGATATCAATCACATGATGTTACCTCTCTGTTGTTTTTCTCCCACAC